GGGAGGACAGGGACCGCAGCAGAGACGAACGCGAACGCTCCAACAGTAAGAAAAAAAAGAGCAAAGACAAAGAACGAGATCGGGACCGCAAGTCCGACAGCGAGAAAGGAGATGTTAAGGTATGTAGAGCAGGCACTGTTTAGAGACAGGTGGCTTGATGCTTTACTCTGCTCGTCGTTAACATGATTAAATGCGGCACAGGTGACTCGGGACTACGATGAGGAGGAGCAGGGTTATGACAGCGAAAAAGGAGAGGAGGAGGAGGACGAGAGGAAGAGCGACTCCGACTCCATCTCGTCCCCGAAAAGCCAGGAGGAGATGGAGAGATCTGAGGGCCAAATCCCCAAAAAGTCCAAACTGAACGGAGACGATCACCACCAGGAAGACATGGAGATGAGCGACTAGAAACGTCCAAACCAGATAGCATCGTCTTTTCACTGTCCTTTTTATATTTTTAATATAGGCCACGATATGTCTGTGCCTGATCGCTCGAAGTTAAACAGATTTTGTCTTAACTGTAGAAACACTGCAAAGGAGGGCAGGCAGTGGGGTGTACGGAGGGGAGGGGGAGGCAGAACTTTTGTAAAGATATAAGAAACAATTACTAAAATATGAAGAACATGAAACCTGGTTTTAAATTGTCATTGCTGTACTTTTTAAAGATTTTGTTATTGGAGTTTGTCTTTCTGACAGTAGAATACGCAGCGTTTTCCTCTAAAAACGCAGCATCTGTAAATATTTTACTGGTCAGGACTTTGTCCTCATTCACACTGCTCGTCGTTTGCCACTCACCGTTTTATTTTTTCCAAACGAACCGTTTTGCTTTAACTGTGTAACACACCCAGCTGTGTTTCATCTCTACTGACCTATTTACAACCCTTTATTATTGTACATTGTAGATTGAAATGTGTTGTGACAATGAAATATGTTGTCTGCAATAGAATTTCCAAAGGACACAAATAAAATTGGGGTAAACTGTCAAGTTGCGCCACAAGGGTCCTTATTTTGAAAAATAATTGCTACGATGGGATTTATTCTGTGGTTATGTTCTGGGTGCCTGGCAACTGTTAACCTTCACTCAGG